TCAACAATAAAAAATCATGTTGAAACTGTATTATTAATTAACATTTAAACAACTCCCCTTTCCACCTGTTCTACAAAAGCTGCTAGGAAAATGAACCGAAAAGTGTGAGCAATGTTTGAAATCTGTACCAGCTCGACACAGATTATGCGCATCATTTTTATCTTCGTCCATCAGACAGGTATTTAACAAAAAAGCTTATAAACCAGGCAAGCAAACACGACGTCATGCACAACCACTACTACGGTTATCTCAGTATTTAATAGTAAGCACTCATAAATAAATAGTTACAGTAGCGCAAGATGAGCTAATGCGAATGTACCAGTACTTCGTTAGTTATCTTCAACAACTCAATCTGAGGTATTTCCATGAAGAAAGCTTTTTGATTAAGAACACCTGATACTTACACTGAGGATATGTGGCAGATGAAATACAATGGCAAATAAATTGAGTTTCCAACTTTCATTTAAAGTAATAGTAGTAATAGTAGTAGTAAAAATCATGGCTGTTATCATGAATGTATGTGAAGACCTGATAACAAGAGAGAGAGAGAGTGCTCTCACTATAGTTACAAGAGAGAGTAGTGAAGTATAACTAGTCACCGATTGATTGCAGTTAATCAAGTCTCGCTTCCTTCCTTTGGATTCGAAAACGTAAATGACCTTCCTACAAGATGGACATCTGCTGCATCAACTTTAAAAAAAAAAAAAATTAAAACCAATCTTTTAAGTGTTACTATAAGTTAAATAACTTATTGTTACTTGATCATGATGAGAAGAAGTCAATAGAAAAATTAACTGCATTTTTATTTGGGAATAAAACAAAAGAATTGTTCCTCTTGAACGTAAGTTTCTACTTTCAAATGTGCTTCTTGCAGTTTATTAATAGTATTATATTGTGGTAATCTAGATTTTTTTAGTGCAATATTGTAAATACTAAATAGTAATACCAGGTTTTCAAAATGCTTTCCCAAAGATAAGATACCTGGTGTTTTTCTATATAATGCTGAATTGAATGACAACAAAAAGTTGGGAACATATGTGTTGCTTTAAAATAAATTAAACTCACAATCCAATCTGTGTATTAGAAATAAAAATAAAATCTATACGAAAGAAAAAAAAGTGATTATAAAAGCTGGATTTTAACATTCATTTAAAACGTAGTTACGAGAGAAAAAAAGATAACATGTACAGCGATAAAAGCTAAAAAGGTTTCGTTTTTCGATATTACAAAGAAAATGGCTATAAAGAAAAATGCAAATAACATGGAGGAGGAACCAGAAATTAGTACATTTTTCTTCACTTTCAGATTGTCTTTTAATTTGTAGCGGTTCTTTGTTAAAATCCACTGACACGATAAAACAGTTATTATATTTTATGTTAGTAATTAATATTTCACTGCCAAGTCGGGTAGTTAAATCGGTTTCCACGTAAACAAAATGAAGTGTTGTTACGTGTGGCCACTTTCGAGATTAGGAGCGCGTAGCAGGTACACTGGTACTGTTTTTGGAAGAATGGCACTAACAAGAACAGCATATGACACTGACAGTAGTCAGCACATAAGCTAGAGTAATAGACTAGAGAGTAATAAATAATACACATGTTTACCCATATATTATATATGCAGCAGGGGGGCGTGTGTCCAAGAAGAAATTCACGAACTTTTTTTCTTTTTCTTAATACTGCGCATCTGGTTCAAGAAGCAGATGTTAGGATTGGTACAATTTTTGATCCCAGATCTTTGTACTTGTAAAATCCAAGCTATAAAAAGCATACCTCACGAATGAGAAATAATTACACAGATTTGAAGAACTTTGTAGTTTTGAATTACTTTTTTTTTTTTTTTTCCATAAACGCAGACGGAAATGATGGGGCCGAGGTAGGAGTACTATTCAAACCTCAATGACCGGTCACAACATACACCTCAAAGAATGAGGTGTCAATTTCAATACTAAATTATTGGTTGCTTTTAATAATGCTATACAAATTTATGCATTTTTAGGTTTCATCATTTAAGCCTTCGAAAAAATAAAGATTTCTCCATATTGTATTCACTTGGAATCGTTAAAATAAGTTTACTTTAGTGTTATAAAAAGAAAAAAAAAGGAAAAGAAAAAACAAAAAGGTGGGTTTCTAAGCCTATTAAAATTGCAAATAAAAAAAATGGTATTCTGGTGATGAATGCCAATGACATCATCATTGGACAGTCACATAGCGAGTGTCGAGGAGAGTATATAGATTTTATTTCTTTGATTTCCTTCCGTTTTTAAAGAGGAAGAAGAACCCACTACCAAAACAACAGGTGGTGCAGTAAAAAGACACCTTGGGTAAGAAGTTTTATAATCTAAAGATGGCGACTGTCATGTGACGACGATGGATTGTTTTGTTTCAGGGTGGATGGATTCAATCTGACATCACAATCACCAGTAACAACAAGCTACAGTACACTTATCAGATTCATAACGATTACAGCAACTTGGATACAACCAACTGCAACTTTATGACTGCAATGGTACAAATAATGTTTGTGTTATCTGTAATTTTTTTTCTTTTTTATTTAATTTATTTAGCTACTAGAGCAGTACTTATGATTCTACACACAATAAGAAGTGTATTTATAGTGAGTGACCGAAGATGAACGAACATATCTTAGAAACTAGAGATACAGTTTAAACACGAAAGTTAATTTAAAAGTAAAACCTTGTCCATTGAAGACACACCTTAGGCAGGTATGACATACTGAACGTAGGTGTGATAACATCAAAAACAAAACAGGATAGAATTGAATGGGCGAAGATAAAAGACAAATGTGGTAGTGGGATGAAATTTAAGCAGACACTCCAGTACTCCATTACTACATGTGTCTAAATGTGATTATATATAAATTTTTTTTAGTGTCACATAAAGTGCTATTCACATACACTTCACTTTAAATGTAATTGCCGGTCATCGGAGATATATGCTGAAAGGGCCTTGCCAAAGTGGTAAAAAAGATGATTTTTTTTTAAAACTGAAAGTGCTTCTTGGTCAGGCCTAGAACTTTTCAGCACCCCACTCATATGTGGGAAGTGGGGGGGTGATTATGTTGGGTCATTATTAATCGATGCTTAATGATGAGAATTCTAGGTTGGGTCATAGCACAGGTAAGGGACAGATTGAAAACTGAAAAGTAAAACAAATGAGCCTTTTTAAAAGGTGAGACAAGCTGTTCAATATGATGGTTATTTTTAGATCAGTTCAGTTCTTTCCTATTGAAACCACTTTTTTGTGGACTATTGTAAAAATGTAAATTATTGTACAATTTTTTCGCTTAACCTCTCTATCGCCCGATTGAGGGTGTGGCATGCACGATTAGGAACTTTTTTTTTTAACTCTTCTCCATAAAATAATTGTTTCTAGTCTACTGAGAGGTTTTTTAAAGAAGAAAAATAATAGTAAATAAAATATTGCTCCTAAGAGGAAAGTGGCGGTTTAAGTATTTGAATTGATTGAAGCAATAAAAATATTGTTACATTTCCTCTTATTTAGAAAATTTAAAAAAAAAAAAAAAAAAAAAAAAAATTATATTTAATCCATTAGTAACGGTAAATAATAACCAGAAGTGAAATAAATCTCAGATCGGATTATGACAAAGAAAAAAAAAAGTCAAATAAAATGACGATAATATTTATTAATAGATTTATAGAAATTAAAGGCAAAATTATGTTCAAATCGTAATATTTTAGGAGTCATTAACTGTCGTACGTCATACAATGCCAACAATGGGTACTATTATTAAAATTCCGTTAAAAAAATATTGAAATTTTGTTTAATGTTCATTACATTCTTAAAACTAGAATTACCTGAATAAATATGTATTTTAATTTTCGACATACACTGTACAAAATGACCAACTTACGATTTTTTTTTTAGCTTTACTCATCAAGTTTCCGGGATACGAAATATTTTTCAGCTGTCCACGGACAAACATCCCCCCCCTTGGACTCTTTATTCTAGCTAGATCTATTTTACTTACTACTTCGATCTGAATTACGATATGTCCAATAGTTGAGTGAAATGAAATGTCCACAATTTTAACTTTCATAAGATTCATTTTTGTGTCTTCATTTCAATTCTCACATATTTGGATAACGTAAGTGTTTTAATGTTTATTTTTAAGAGGCTAAGTCATTGTTGGTAATCAAAAATTGAAAGGATTTAGGATCGTGATAATAATTTTATTAGAGAAAATAAACACTTTCTTAGGTAATATCCACAATTCAGACTAATTTTACTTTCCGATTTTAATTGGAAGAGAACATTGTAGAGGAAAACGTGCTTTTTTTACAGGAATTATATTTAATCAGCTGAGCTTTTCCTGTATTTAAAAATTAGAATAAAAAAATAGAGTTAAAAAAGCGCATTTCCAGGAACTGTTGGATTTTTAAGTGATACGTTTTAAATTTAAAAAGAAATAGAAAACCTACCGAGGATATATTCTGCAGTAATAGGGCTTTTGACAACACACGAAGAAACGTCATTTACAAAAAATATTATTCATTTAGTTTAGTCTTTTTAGACGAAAGAGAAAGTCTAGATTGCAGACATCCGTACCAACAATAAAATAACACAGATGTGTACAGGAAAGGTAAGAATGCATTAATGATTCTAAAAGAGAAGTGTTTAATTTTTAAATTAAATCCAACAAGTTTATATACACATCACGAGATACACATAAGACGAAGGCAAAAAAAAAAAAAAAAAGAAAATGTAGATAGATAGATGCTGGAGAGAAAGAGAAAGAGTGAGAATGATCATGATGACGCGTTATCCTGATTAAAAAAAATAGTGGGGAAGGAAGAAAATAATGATCGATGATTTTTTTTTTTTTTTTTTTTAGAATAATTAATAGTCATGGCCGCAATATGGAAAAGGAGTTTCCGTTAAGTTTCGCAAGAAATGGTCTTATATGAAAATATAGGCGGTCGACGGGATGAAGTGGAACAATATTTGGTTAGAACATACCTCACAAACAAGGAAACACAAGAGACTCAGTCAGGGTCAAACTCAAAGATGGCGAATTGTATAACGAAGAACTTAGGAAGCGGGAGGAGGAGATTACAAAAACGAAGTAGGAGGAGAGCGCCCAAAGTACCGGTAAAAGTAGTTCCTACTATCGAAGTAGCAGAGGGAGAGATTTTAAATTAGGTAATAATAATTAGAGAAGAATATATAGTTGCAGTACAAGTAAGAGAACAAGTTGTGGTAGGAGGAGAGGCATGTGTTGCTAATACTCAAGAGGACGATGGAAGTGGTGGTAATCACATGTGAAAGGGAGGATGAGAGGGAGTGGTTGCAGCGGGAGGTACAAGAGAATTGTTGAGGTTGGAGGTAGCAGAATTTAGGAGAGAAAGAGAAAGTCAAACAGATCGGATGATAGGGATAAATGAGTGCTGAAAGGGAGATAATTCAGTCTATCATCATCATAAACATGGTCAACATCACCTTTGCTTATCTGCTAATATTTTTTACATTTTTCTTCAATTTCATTTAAGTCACCACAGTTAATTAAAGTAAATTTTTTCTGTGAATTAAAAAAATCATGAATAGTTCCAACTTACACGATATTTAAGTGTATTCCATTAAGTGTTTGATGATGCAATATGAATACATTACTAAGAGATATTGAATTTTAAAATTATTGTCAATAATCATGAGCATTTTACAAAGAAGAAAAAATTATTGATAATAATGTTTACACTTATTGTTAGTATTACACAAATTATCTCTTTTGGATAAACCCTATTTTAATATCATCATCATCATCATCATCATCATCATCATATTATTATTATTTTTTTAAATGTCATGTCTCAATCGGGACATAAGCAATCATGACTTGCCACAAATTTTGTTTCTTTATTATTTGTGATTTGCCATAGTTTCCTGGGAAAGGTAGTGGAGTGGTTTTGCATTGTCATTCCTATTGTTTTTGAATTCAGAGTAGTTCTTCTCTTAGACTGGTAACTGTCTAAGGCTAGAGAGTCTAGTCTACCCTGTTATTTAATTAATAGCTGGTGACACAAGGGACAGATTCATCCCTTTCCTAAGGGCATTTGTGCAAAAGTGGATGTGACAGCCTAAACCAGAATTAGAACTTAGTTTGCAGATTCCACTTTCTGTGCCAATAACCATTACATTATTTGTGTATTATCATTATTAGAATCATAATTATCATTATTAGAATCATAATTATCATTATTAGAATCATAATTATCATTATTAGAATCATAATTATCATTATTAGAAGCATAATTATCATTATTAGAATCTTAATTAATTGTTGTATCAATAATGCTTAATTTTACAAACTTGATTATTGTGTTTTCATTAATTGCTTAATCATCATAATCATCTATGATCATTATTATTATTAAATACTGTTATTATTATTATTTATAATATTAGAATGATCACAAATAATAATACTGTTATTAATTTTATTTTACTGCTTTCATTTTATTATCCTTTTTATTATTGCTAATAATATTAATATAAACTTTCAAGTTAAAACTATTATCTCCCAGAATTACAATTATGTAAGAGTAATTTCCAAGAGAGAATAATTTATTTTTCTTCCAAGAGAGAAGAATTTGTTCTCTTCAAGACCGTAGATGTTCATTACTTGAGTTGACACCAAAGATTCTTAAGAGAATAATTCCCAAATATATATGAGTAATGTATATATGACATTTGACACTAGATCCTTTCCAGCATCCTTTCCAAATTACAGATTACTCACCTTTTTTTTTTTTTTTTAAAGTTCTTTCAACCCAAAGCAATAAAGCGTGAGAGAATATGAGAAAAAAAAAACATTATTAAGGAGAGAGAACAATAAAAGAACTGGAATTAAGAAGCAGGAAGCTCATGACAGACATTGCATTTAAATTTTTGAAGATCAAGTTGACTGGAAAGTAAGAAGCCGGTAAAGAGTTCCATACCAAAGAAGAAAGCTTATCAGAACAATTATGATGAAAATATTTATAGAAAAGTCACAGGAAGCTACATTATGGCAGTGAGAAAGTGTCTTAAGTTGAGATGCCAGGTCAGGACTAATAACATTGCTGATTCTTCTTTGTGTTTATCAAGAATCTCTAAATACATAACAGAAGCACCAAACCAGATTTGGAAACAACATTCAATTCATGGATGAATGGTAGATTTATAAATATGCAAGATAGATTCTGGTGAGAAAAATTGTCTAGCATGACAAAGTGAATCAACTTTTCTAGCAGCAGACCTAGCAACTGATTCAATATAATCTTTCCACTTCATCTCATTGGAAGCTTGAAAAGATGTAAGGAGTTACTCTCCTGGAGGTTTTCATCAGACATGATGATCGAAGGCAAAAAAGGTTCTCTCAGATGATTAAAAGAGAGCAATTTCATTTTAGAGACATTAAAATTAACAAGTTATTTCTTGCCCCAGTTAACAACAGATTGTAGTGATTTTTGAGATCAGCTGCTATTTGACCTTATCAAACTGATCAGACTTACTATTAAGGCAGGAGTAAATAGTTGTGTCATCAGCATAGATACCAAGTTAAGAACTGATGACATCAGGAAGGTCGTTAATGAAAATTAGGAACAAGATAGGTTCAAGCAGAGAACCAGTGGTGGCATCCTACTGGTTTGCATTGGTTTTCACAAACTGATTCTTAAAATTATAAAAACTTAATGAACCAGTAGTTGGATTATCTGAAAATAATCTTATATATTAATAGCCAATAATAACTAAATAGATAATAACATTACTGTAAGTTCTGCAGAAAGTGAAAGAGGGTTTTTTGTGATGAACATAATTTATTCTAACAAAGGAAATCATCTTGAAGTTAAAAATGTGATAAATCTTCTAGTCATAAATTTGATAGGTCTTCCATTGGATCTTTGGGACTGCAGCGATTCAATTCGAATGTGGCTAAGAAACCATAGCACAGCTGATGACACTAAAGTAAAAAAGCATTATACTTCTGAACATAAATATGTTGAGAACAGAATTTCAATCTGGAAATATTTTAATAAATAAATATTTTCTATTAAAATTATCAAAATAGTTTAATTCTTTTTGATACTGTATAAACTGATTTGTTTCCATTCTCAGATTGAAAAGAAAATAAGCAGAATAGGTTCCTGGAATCCAGGTTCTGGAAATTTGGGATGCCGTTATTGGATAGAACCATGGGGCCATCTGCATTAATGCAAAGAGATCTTGTAGTTAAATGAGTCTCTATTCTTTGGACGTTGTTCGAACAATACAACATACCACTTGTTCAATCTACCGTTCTTGCATTCTGCACACTTCACCAACGTAAAAATGTTCACTGCTTCAGCCCTCTTTTATCAGGCCAACACTGCAAGCCAACCAACTAATCAGTGTTCTCCACTTTTGTTCTCAGTTACCCAGGCAAATAGCCTCCTCCAATCTGACCAATCAGCACGTGACTTGCTATTGGTCGAACCATGCCAAACTGTACAAAAATCCCTGTTACAGCACATACTGCTGGAATAGTCAGATGGGAGAGTGATGCCATTTTCAAGGAGAAAAATGCTGATACCACATGCTGCATGTTGAAATAAGACACTTATTTTCTTTTGCACCAGATGCAAGCCACTCTAGCTCCTTTGCTTCTATATGACTGTTTACCACAGATCTAGAAGAGTGGCCATTCAAGATAACTTTGATTTCCTGACTTGATGAGAAAAATTGAATCAGATCAAAAATTTATCCAGGAATATCATAACCTTTCAACTTGTAAAGAAGACCAGTATGCCAAACCATGTCAAATGCTTTTGATATATCTGAAGCAACAACCCGAGCTTCATCATTCTTATCTAGCAGTTGTAAAATTAATAAAATATAAAACAGAAGAAATTGCAAGACATTGAGAAATAATTTATTTATAATCTTATCAAATTTATCTACTTAATTAGTTACTGAATTATTTTTATTTAAATGGAGATGTTGGAAAAATGTTTGGCTCATTCTATCACTCCAAAAAGCACCTTTTTACCATACTTAAAGTTAGATTAGACCAAAAATGGATTATTGCTGCCATCTCTAGCTGGAGCTACTCAATATTTACTTTACAGCCTTGATAAATTTCAAAATCATTTATGCAGTTGTATGGGAGAAAATTCTGCAACATCTTCCCAGCAAATGCAACATGACAACCTTATCACTATTCTATCACTATTTTCAATGCAAATATTGAGATGAGCTCTATTTGTCAGTTCCACCAACACTCTATGCTACTTCCATGTAGATGAATCACCCTCATTTCCTCCACATTACAAAGGTAAGAAGGAAGCTCCACTTTTTTCCAAGAACTGCTACTTTGTAGAACAGATGCCTGCATAGAACACTACAATTTTAACCTTTTCATGTCAAGGGTCAATCATTATCATTTTCATCAAAGTCTTCACTTTCTACCACCATCTCTTTCATTCATATCACACACTTCATTCATCATAAACATTTTAATAGTACCCTCTACCTTGAGTGGATCTCGAGTCTTGTATTGGATGAATTTTAGTATTAAAGATGTGATGTATTGGTAAGTTTCTTAGGAAGACTAACAGAATGTATATATATTTTGTTATGACAAATCTATCAAAGTTATATATTGTTTGAAATGATTCTCTTGTTTTAATAATTCCCTGAATAACCAGCTGAGGTGTTTCTTATAAGTGATAAGATTCACTGTTAAATTTATTGATTCAAGTTTGTGTGCTGTATTGGTTATAAATATGGTTGAATGCTTTTTAAAAGAGAATATTATTTTTAGATTGGATATAAAAAATCAAGAAACATTACAATATATATTAGATCATAAAATTAACAGCTTTCTGTTAATGTTTATTTTTGCCTTCATTTACACATCAGTTAAGGTAGCAAAATTTGATTAAGGGAAATAACTCATTAAGCAAGAGTTGTCTCCCTTAGGATAAGAATACAATCTAATGAGGATATGTTCATAAGTGAACACAAAACTGAAGAGGATATCTGAACTGGATTAGTTGTAAAGCTAAAATTTGTAACAATTACAATGATATTTATTATGAAAAGTCATGAGCACAGGAAAAAGGTGTAGGCATGGACACATGAAGTTAGCTGTTCTTCCAAGTGTGCATTGAGTATTGCTGCCATATCTGGTCTGGAACTCCTATATATTGCAAGATTCTTGACAAAATTGAAAAAAGAGTCTGTAATGTAATTGATCCTGACATAGCATCTTAACTTCACCCACGTTCCCAACATCATGATGTGGTATCCTTCTGTCTTTTCTACAAATATATTCATGGTGACTGTTTTGGTTTCCTCCTTGGTTGCTAGACTGCATGAATTTAAATGTACTACTAAATTAGCTACTAGTTCTCATCTGAACTATCTAGATGTAACCGTATGTACTATTCTAATAGTTTCTTTTCTCACACTTCTCACCTGTGAACTCTCTTCCAGTTTCTTTCTTTCCTGCTATCTACAATCATCAAAAATTTAAATGCAACATCAATTGCCATCATCCTGAATCTTGTACTTTCATTGTCCTTTCTCCTCATTAAGACTTCTCATTCTTTTTCTCTACCCCCTTGTGTCTTAGTGGCATTATCGCCTTGCTTAGGATAAGATGATTGAAAGAAAAAGAAAGATTGTTCATACTTAACTTGGTGTTTCCAAAATTAAGTTTTGTGTCAGATTTTGAATGGGTGATAAAATGCATTCCTTTTCAGGGCAAGTTTCAACATTACAAAATAAAGCAGAAAACTGAGGAAAAATGAAAGACACAACATCTTAGACATCATAAAAAAAAAAACCCAATAAAAATGAGAAAAATAGATTCAAATTTGTTAGTAAAGAAATAAATGAATCATATTAACATGCTACAGTGTGTCATTGGTACCTAACTTAAAACTATCCAGAACAATTCATTAAATTGGTGTATGTGGGTACTATTAGAATAGTATATATATATATATATATATATATATATATATATATATGAGTGATGATGGCTTAGTGGTAGAAATTCTGACTGACACCAAATTGGTTGGCTTTCAGTCCTGGCTTGAGGCATTTGGATGTCTAGTTGCACTGAAAAGCTGTGATACAGCGAAACAGTACTGTCTGTGAATGGTATAATTAAGCTCTTGAAAATATATTTCAGTTGAGCACTGTTGAGAGATAGGCTGATTCTATAAACAACAGCCACCTGTGTTAATGCAAAGCTCTTCAGTAATATGAATTGGAGCACTGTGACTGATTGGCATTTGTTTACATTCATAAAAACAATACTATAGAATTAGCTGTTTCTCCCTGTGATGATGGCTTAGTGGTAGAAACTCTGATACCAAATCAGTCAGGTTTCAGTCCTGTCTTGAGGCATTTGGATGTCTAGTCTCACTGAGGATCTGTGATACAGTGAAACAGTACTGTTTGCGAATGACATTCAAATGACATATGAAGATGATTGACACTGTGATTATATTTTTCTTGCATTCATACAAGTGATTCCTTTTTTGGACATAGAGTGTATAAGAACTATCCAAATGATCATTGGGTTTGGCCTAAGATATTAGCCATTATCAAGGATGATTTTTTTGTTTGTTGATTTATGTAGTGTTGTGTCGTGTATATTGCTAAGTAAGCTTTCGACCTCTGTTCTAGTTGGTGTCCATTTATCATATGAGCTACCTGCTCATATGCAAATTATACTAATTTGCATCACACTACATTTCCCTATAACGGAGGGGCCTTATGCCACGAGTACTTCTTGTACTTCTTCTTGTGCCCTCCTGAACATCTTCCTTTATCTCTCTCCTTTCCCTTGGAGATCTAGATCTATCACGTCTTTCCCTATAATCGAACTGTTCCTCTTGCATACTGTGGTCTTTCTCTTCTAACTTGTCCCATTCTACTTCTTCCTCCTCTAACTCATCCCTCTCTACTTCTTCCTCCGCAGTTTCATTCTGCATTAACTCTTCTGTTATGTCAATAATGGGCATCTCTGAAGGCATTTTCTCATCCGATTCTTCTCCTTGGGATCTTATTTGGTCAGCATGAGCTAGAACACTGTTCCCATTTTCTTTATTTAATATTGCAGTATTATGTCCTTTCTGCATAATAAATTCGGCTGACTCGGGTTGCATATTCCTATTTCTTTTGTACCTTTTGTCTGCCCATTAAGGCAGATGGACTTTCCGGCCTGCCTGCATGTGGAATTGTTCTGTAACTTAATAATAGTCTTGGTAGAAAAACATCGATTTCCTCCTTCTGTTGCAAGCATGCTTTTATGCCCTTCTTTACCGTCTGGACCATCCTTTCCGCTGTCCCATTACTTTGAGGGTCATAGGGAGGGGTCTTGTAAGGTCTACATCCTATTTTTCTTAACCATTCATGCAAATCAGCATCCACAAATTCTGGTGCGTTATCAGTCACCAATGTTCTTGGTGTCCCATTCCTCGAAAATATTACTCTTAATATTTGTTTTACGGTGGTAATTTTTTTTTATCAGGTACTCTCACCACTTCAGGCCAACCTGAATATGCGTCTACTAATATTAATAATAGTCCTATCCCATTGACATAGGCATGGTCCATGTGTACTCTGCTCCATGGTTCTACTTCTCGGGGCCATACATGTATTTTCTTTTGCTTAAAATTCCTGAGTTCTGTGCATTTTTGCATCTTCTTACGTAGTCTTCTACGTCTCTTGAGTACCCCGGCCACCACGCTTCCAATTTTAATCTTCTTTGCGTAGCTGTCACTCCACAATGTATGTCATCGTGTACACTTTTTTATAACCTGTCTCCTCTGTGTTTCTGGGGAACTACCAAGTCTCCATTACATATTATCCGTTTTCTATAGTCATTCTATGTCTAATTTCTTTGAATGGTCTTTCAGCCATTGAACAATTTCCCCAGCGATTCTGTTTTATCCTCGACATTATTCTATTTAACACTGGGTCATTTGTAGTTTCAGTAGCCATTTTATCTACAGATATTACAACGGTTTCTACAAGGTGCAAGAATGTGTCTTCAAATTCCTCGTCGTTTTGTCCTTCTCCTTCCTATAAAACCTCAATCTAGATAAGGCATCAACGTGCGGTATCGTATTCCCTTTAACATATTCAATGTCAAAGTCGAACTCCATCAGTCTAATCGCCCAGCGTAATATTCTGGACGTTGTAACTTTCGGTAGCTCTTTTCTTGGGTTGAAAATAAATTCCAGTGGTCTGTGATCACTTTTCAACAAGAATTTTTTTCCCATCAAAAACTGTCTTGCTCTATCCGTTGTCCACACTATGGCTAGTGCCTCCCTTTCTATATTCGAATAATTATATTCAGTTGTTAATCTCGATAAGTACATTATGAGATGCCCATCTTGTGACAAAATACCAGATATGGACTGCTCACTAGCGTCAGTAGTTAGAGTTATGTCCTTCTTAGGGTCAAAAATTTGTACTATTGGCTTTTTTGCCAGAATCTGTTTTAAGTTTTCAAAGGCTTTCTGTTGGTGTTCTAACCAAATGAATTCCACATTTTTTTCTTAACTTAGCAAATGGTTCTGTCAACTCATTATATTTTGGTACATATTTTCTATAAAAATTTACCAAACCTAAGAAGGACTCAACTCTTTTTATTTTTCGGTGTAGCAACTTTTTAGAATTTTCTCTATTAGTACTTTATCTGGAGAGATCACTTCCTTTGATATTGAGTAACCCAAAAATGATATTTCCTTACTGTTGGTTACACAGTTTTTTGTATTTATTGTCATACCAGCGTCTCTTAGCCGGTTCAGTATATTTTCAGTTTTTTTCTTTAAATCATCTTCATTTAAATCTCCAACACATATATCGTCTTGATAACAGATGGTATTTGCAACATTTCCTATTACTTTTTCAATAGCTTTTTGAAAAATTGCACTTGCCGTTTTTATGCCATACGGCATTCTTTTCCACCTTAACAGGCCTATAGGTGTCGTCACTTCTTTAAAATTTTCATTTATCGGTATTTGGGGGTAAGCTGATTTTAGGTCTATCTTCGAAAATACTTTCATTCCAGCAAGTTTATGTAAAGCTACTTCCACATTCGGAATAGGGTACGAGTCAGCACAAACTTTATGGTTCACCCCTATTTTATAATCTCCACAAATTCTCAGGTCACCATCTTTTTTTTTTTTCAATACCACAATGGGTGATGCCCATTTACTTCCTCCTGGAGGAGCAGGTTCTAATAAGTCTTCCTTTATTAGCTTTCGCAATTTAGCTATTACCAACGGTAATAAATGCACTGGTATTTTCTCGTTTCGTCGTAGGAGGGGGAAACATTTTCTTTTAATTTCAGGCTAGCTTCATAATTTTTAATTTTCCTGTTTTTCTATTTCTATCTCATTAATCAACTTCGTTGAATTTATTTTTAACACGTCATTCCCCAATAGTCCATGCATTTTTCGGCAATTTGTAACTATAATGGGTACTATTTCATATTTTCTTTTTAGTTCTATTGAACCTTCAAAGTAACCCATAATTGCTATAATCGAGCCATCAAACTGACGTAATTGTACGTTGTTTTTTTTTTAAAAACGGTTTTCCCATTTTTTCCCACAAATTTCTGGGTAATATCGTGACCTCACTACCTGTGTCGATTGGCATTTCGACAATACAGTCGTTGATTTTCACTTTTATTTTTGTATCTCCGTTCTTAGATCCAGTATTTTGTATATTATCCTTTTTACATTAAAAATCTGTCTATTTTCATCCTCTACTCTTTCCACATTTTTCGTTTTACATACTTCTTTGAAGTGATTTTTTTTAAAACACTTTGAACACGTCTTTCCAAAGGCTGGGCATTATTTTTCTTTTTTCATTTCATGAATTTTTCCACAGTACGCACAATTTTTTCTTTTTGTTTGTACCGTATATGTTTCAGCCATTATTTCTTTGTATTTTTATTTTGGTTGTAGGTATGTATTAATTCCTGCTGTTGTATAAATTCTATACACATATTCAAAGGCATGTTTGTAAGTTGTAACTGTTCCATTAACTTATATCTATGTGCTGAATTATGCATACCTTCAATTAATCTTAGTTGGATTAATTCTTCTTCCGTTGTCTGCTCTTCTGTTCCTAGTTTTTCGAATTCACAGTGTCGGAGTTAACTCCTCCTTCAGTCCGTTAACCCTTTCACTAGGGGTCTCCCTTTCCTGGCTATAAATAGCCGCTGACCCTTCACCTCTATCTCTTTTTCCTTCAGGATTTCAGCTATCAACCTCGAAATGTAGGCTCTAACAAGGGATAGCGTGGAAACACGCTAAGCACAATATTCACACACGTACGCACATACAGGATATTCACACACGCACGCACATACAGAATATTCACACACACTTCGTCCTTTGTACTGTTTCCATGTATTGTAACTTGTTATTAATATATATTTGTATATACATATATTATTGGTCTTGTGTTTTGTTTGCTTTCTTTGCCTTCTTCTTTGGACTTAATCAAAGTCCAACCTTTTTATGTAGTTGGGCCCGGCGGGCAGGAGTATCTGAACCTTACTTGCGTTTTTTCTACGTCTGACTTCCATCAACAACATAACAGCCACGCCATGAACCCTCAACAAGTGGTAACCGCACTTCTTAACCGGTGTAAATATTTTACTATCGGTTCATCCACTTCCTGCTTCATTGCCTTAAACTTGGTCCTTTCTGCAATCACCAGTCTTTTCTTTGGCCTCATGTTTCCCTTAATAACCTGACTTATTTCTTCGAAAGTCATTTCTTCTAGTTCTCGAGGGTAAACCATTGTAGCAACCTTCATAATCGCTTCACAACCAGCTGTAGCCATGAACAAGTCGGTGATTTCATTTTCCCCTCCTCTGTTTTTGTTGCCTTTCAACTTTTTACATCTTACATTAGCAGCAAAACAACGCATCCGCGTATCTACGTACTCTGGGTCTTCAAGGACCAAAGAGTATCCTATCGGCGACGCCATTGTTGTGTCGTGTATATTGCTAAGTAAGCTTTCGACCTCTGTTCTAGTTGGTGTCCATTTATCATATGAGCTACCTGCTCATATGCAAATTATACTAATTTGCATCTCACTACATGTAGATTTTTTTTATAGCAATAGGAATGTTTTAATTACAGAACACTGTCAGCATGTTATGACCGTTTTTATGATTGATTGATATTATTGAGTGTTAGTTTCTTTTTTATTGTTAACACTTTTATTGTTTTTTTAACCATTAAAACATACACACACATATATCCTTGTATATTTTGGATAGGAGTCATTCCCTTGTTCAAATTTAAATTTAATTTAAATCAAAGGGGAAAAAAATTCAGTAAGGGGCTTTGTGCACAAAGACCCCTTTGATCAAAATGAAATATACTTATCCAAGTACTCTGGGAATCATTCCCTTGTTCAAATTTAAATTTGATTTATATCAAAGAGAAAAATTATCTGGTTGGGATATGAAACTCATTACAGAGAGTGCAAATGCAGAAATTCTTTTGAATGATGAAAGTACTTTACATAGAGAGCAATGGTAGCAGTTCTTGTTACATTAAATTTACAGAATTGAGGGATGGCCAAATATTATTTTTATCTTTCTTATTTGCTGTAGTATAGGATAAATTTTTGGTGGCATTTATTTCATGTATCTATTTTCACATGCAACATTCTACTCCAGAGTTATAAACCGGGTGTAACAGCAAAATTGTCCAAATCGTGTAACAACATGTGATAATTGTCAATCCCACAAAATGTTTAATATCTAAAAAAACCCACTAAACTAATTGAGTTTCTTTTTTTCGAGGGTTTTAGATAAGATATTTAACCATCTTGACACCATTTGTTGTAAGAATCACTGAAAAACCCTTTGAGTTATTCAGCTAGAAAGAGAACAGGTTAAAATCGTTTTTGTCAGTCCCACTATGTCTTCCCAACTGAGTAATGGTGAGAGGATCTTTCAGGCCTTCAGTAATGGTACCAAAATTCA